ATTCCCAGACCACCTCTGACACTGAGGGACTTTGAAAGTATTCCAGCTGTAAAATAAATAGCCTAAAGGTTAAAAAACTCCTGAGGAAGCTGACATCAAAGTCATTCTTCAATGCCCGTTCATTTTTTAAAATACCTTGAAAAATGTTTTACTGTCCTTCTTGTTATTTTTGTGTCCTTTTTTTTTCACAGATTTATATATATTTTTATATATATATATATGCACATCCAAACTTTTATGCATGTCCTACATTTTTTTTTTAATAATTTAAAGACCTTTTAGTCTGTTCTTTCTGGGCACACAAATAAATGTGAAAGTGACCACAGTTAACACAGTTCCAGCCTCCAGCACGCCTGAATCACAGTGTGGAAATGTTTGTCAGCCTGAACTTTATTTTGCATTTGTGGGAATTTTATACATATGTGACATTAAAAATATTTGCAGAGAATTTATAATTCAGAGCCAACATTAGCCTTCGCCTGGATCTACTCACCAGATTATCTGGACTCTTTTAAAGATGTTTAGAAAAAAACATATTTCACAGCCTCAACATTTTCCTCTTGCACCTCAACTACTTGCAGTACTCTTTAGCCACTTTGGGAACAGTATTTCATTTATATGCTGCTTAGTTCCCTCATTTTGATAGCTGCTTTTCCCCAGATCCTTTCAAGAAAAAGAAATACTAACGATTTTTCATTGTAGTTCATTGGATTAATTTTTAAAATATTATTACCTTCTGTTTTAAACTTTATCCTTAATTTTTCGCTTTTACACGACTCTGATTTCCAAAATAAGTATAAACAAGATACTGTGGGAGGAGGAGCTTCTGTTTGCTACATATCACATGAAGTGCCCAACGAGGAGTGGCTTGTACTGCTCCCCAAAATGCTCAGGTCAGGCAGCCAGTCAAAACCTCCTGCCTAAGGCTGGAAGATAAATATTTAATTCCTAAGTATTACTGGAGTGGTCCAGCACTCACCTGAGAAGAATTTTTAAAATCATTTGATAGTAAAAGCAGTGAACTGAAGTACTGGGGTTAACCCCCCCAGCCCTGAATATGGATGATGTCCACAACCATGCAAGAAAGAACCT